AACTGTAAGAATGAAATGGATTAGTTGACGGAGATGAAGCTTCAGGAGGGAAAATAAGAAAGGCCTGAGGAGGTGATTCATGGACATAGTGAAGGAGGACGTGAAGGACATGAAGGACAAAAGAGGAGCAAACCAGTTTCTCTGCCAGTCCCTGAAAGTAGCATGAAAAAAGACAGAAATACTGCAGTACTTGTACTTTCCATTACACAGTACCCCCCCCCCCCTCTAATTGGAACATCTACTGTTAGACCAACACCATTCACCTTTGACCTGGTGCTTTTGTCAACAGTGGTCCGACTTGGAGCGCCAACAATGGGCGGATTAAAGGGATTTCTTTTTTTTTTTTAATAGTGTATTCATTTCATCTCCCTGTTGTTTTCTACTAATTTCAAATCACTGGTGGTGGAGGAGGGTTTTAAGCAGATGAAACACTACGACATGAGGGGCTGTGATGAAGAAAGACGCTGTGAGGACGGGCCCGGTGCCAGGACTAATGAGCTGCTGGGTTCACAGTGGCTCTGCTGCGTTCTGTCTGATGTGTTTAGGACTCACTGACCAAAACTGTAGGGACTTGGACACTCACTGAAGCCCAGAGGAAGCTGATTTTACTACATTTTTTATGCAGTGACTTGAAACACTCGAGACTCGACTCCACTTTGTCTTCAGAGACCCAGACTTTGACCAGTAGCCCCTGGGCTTTAAATCTGATTTAAGTCTTTTTTTATTTTTTCTTTAACTTTGACTTGAATTTGAATCATGAGGGACTCAAGTTAGACTGAATTTTAAGAAACTTTTTCTTGAGAAAGACTTTGTTTAACATGTCAAATGTCTGAGAGGATTCATCACACTTATGCTGATGTGTTGATCTCGTGATCCACAAAGTGGTGGTTCGCGGGCTGGATGTAGACCTCAGGCCCACCATTTCAGGGACACTAAGCTTTTTAGACTTGACCCAAACAATGAAGGTCCAAGTCGAACTCCACTTTAACTTTTGCTTTGTGTCTACAATTTTTTAGAATTAAAGCCTTAAAAACTTAAGTGAGCACAAACCTCTGACACTCAACCCACCGTTAGCCGTGGATGGTTTAAACGTACTTATGAATATATACTGTAATTTTAACAGTACCTTAGAAACAATGTTTATAAATCTCTGTACAGAATAATTGAAACATCCTTTTACTGTGCAGACATTTATTTTCTCCCTTTAGAAACTTGGTCGTCGTCCTGCTCCTCGTTGTCGTTCCCGTCCATGAACCTTGTAACACTTTCAGATTCCTCGCTTTGAGACGTGTTGTTTCCTCCTCATCCTCCTCCTTTATATGGGTCTAAACAGGTTGCTCTTAAGGGTCCATTTACCAGCACGTTAGTCTGAGTTCAGTTCAGTCTCCAAACCTTTTTTTTTTTTTTTTTGGCACAGCCTTTAGCTGTCACTCACTCTCTCTGACTGAGGCTTTACTGTAGAATTTACAGCACGCCGTACAACAGTTCAGCGCTGCGGTGTCTGCTCACCACATGCTCTTCTTCCTCCTCTGCTTTTTCACCATGGGTGGTAAATAATGCCCCCCCGCCCCCCTCACAGGAAGGCGTCACTGTGTCACAAACACACCAAGACACACATACACACATACATTTGCTTTAAACACTCCCTCTATCCCTCTGGATCTAAATAGGAGAGCAGAGCAGGTCTGGACAGGTGGGAATACAAGACGAGCCAAGAGTCGTAACACAAGTACACACACACACACACACAGAGAGAGAGAGAGAGAGAGAGAGAGAGAGAGGAAGACTTGCAACTATTCTTCTGAGGACTTTGCATTAACTCCCACTGATTTTTGCAGCCTTCTAATCATTACTTCTAATCATTAGCTAACTCTACCATTGTCTTGAATTTAATTCCTATCTTCATCCCAAATTTAACCAGAGACGATGAAGACATGAAGCTGGGACAAGGTTTTGGTCTCCTAAAAGACTACAGGTAGTATTTAAAAAGTAGTAGTAGTATTTAGTATTTAAAAATATATATATATATATACTGTATATTAAATGTATTCTTTTTTACATACATACATACATATGTATATATGTGTAACTATTGATTGATACCATATGTTTCACTGAGGCGTCAGAACAGTCTATTTGTAAGATTTCGCTTATACTCAACAATGGCCACAAGGTGGCACCAAAGCCACGCGTGCCACTATTTTCGCAGCTGAACGTAGTTTCTGATAGAATTAAAAAAATAAAGGCTGTTTTTCACAAGTCAGGGTGACAGAATGGTGAATCTCACTAACTGATCCTAATCTAAGGTTGCTTGTTCCTCATTATCGACAATTATCGACTTTAAAAATCGGCCTTAACGGTGTGAAAACGGACGATTTTGTGAAACGTGAAACAGAGGTGTGACACTGGCACTTTTTTTAACCTGTGAATGTGAAGGTGTCAGAGAAGAGCAATCCTGTGCAGCCTGGTAAAAACTGAGCCACTCGGATTGTTAATAATTACGCTGGTTGTGAAATATATATTTATGCAAGCAGAAGAAAAGTTCACAACACAACCTCTACTGTTAGAATATAAACACAACATTTAAAAAATGTCAAAATTGAAAACACTTAGTCACGCTGTTATTTCTTACATTTATTGCATATTTGTTTCATGCACAAATGCATTTTTAATTATATTCACAAATGAAGTTCAATAAGTGGTAACAAAAAAAAGGAATTTAGTCAAACTTGTCATTATAACTGAATATTGATGTTGCTGATGATAATTAATTGATGATGTCACGTGGCAGGATTCCAATTGGTCGAGCTGTCAATCACACGTAGTGTCCAATCACACTGACCATCCCACGAATCTGGTTACTTTTATTGGTGTAAAGTTCTTTTCTCGTTTACACATTGTGCATTATTATCATTATTATCATTATTTATTTTATTTTTTTTGCAAACGCATTGTGTGCTATTATGTCAAACTATGTTTCTTTTTTATTTTTATTTTATTTTTAGGGGGAAGAGGGAGTCGGGGGTCGGATGGGGTTGTCCCAGTGCACCAGACAGGCTAGGACCGCCACTGCACCAGGGTTCTGCCTCATTAGGACCAGGCTTTGGACCACTTCAAGGGTCCAACGGTCCTGAAGAATTAGTCACGATTCCAACGTGGTCCTAAAATGGAAAACACATACAAACAGTACACGGACGCGCACGCGCACACACTCACACTCACACTGTGCACTGCAATAGTATTGTTTGCACGTATGATGGTGATGATGAGAGCGTGACCTCACTGCACACACTCACACTGCTGGAGAGAGAGCGAGGGGGAGAGAGAGGGGGAGAGAGAGAGGGAGGCTCTGGGAGAGAGAGAGAGACAGAGGGACAGAGAGGTACACAGAAACACGCTGTGGGAGACACGGAACAGCGCAGAACATTCTCAACAAAGTGGTAAGTGTTCGGTCCACGGAGGGACACCGTCGTGGCTCGCCCGTGTTCCCTCGGCTCCGCTGCCCCAGAATGCTCGGTGCTACCGGTTCATTCCTGCCGTACCCGAAGCATTCGCTGCCGCGGCGTCCCCACGGATACTGAAGCCCAGATGCTCACCCTCTCCGGCGACATGGACGACTCTTCGTCGCTGCTGGATCTGCTGGAGTGCTCGGTGTGCCTGGAGCGCCTGGACACCACGGCCAAGGTGCTGCCGTGCCAGCACACCTTCTGCCGCCGCTGCCTGGAGAACATTATCAGCTCTCGTAACGAGCTGCGGTGCCCGGAGTGCCGCATCTTAGTGGACTGCGGGGTGGACGACCTGCCCGCCAACATCCTCCTGGTTCGGCTTCTGGACGGAATCAAGCAGCGGCCTCAGCGAGGGAATGGAGGAGGAGGAGGAGGAGGCAAGCAGTGCGCGGCCGCCGGCTCGCTGCAGGGGTACGCGGCCGGGCTGTCCGCTTCTCCCCCGGGCCGTGCGGCCCGAGAGGCGCCCCCGGCCACCCGGGGGGGCCCCCG